CCTCCTCTCCAATTTTTTTGGGGGGATTCTTTTTTCAGCAGTTTTTCCTTCTGTATCTTCAACTTCTTGAGTTGTTCTTCCAATTCTCTTACTTCTTCTAAATTATTCGCCTTATCCAAGCATGATATGCATCGATCCATATCTCTTTCTATTTCTTCTGTGCTAGTCATTGCAGGATAAAATCCTCTTGAACATGAAGCACCTTTAATCTCCAAATCTTCATCGCTGTCTCCATCTTCACTTTCATCAGAGGTCGAATCTCTTGTATCCTTCTTCTTCCAACTTCCATCACCCCTTCTTTCTGCTCTGGCCAACCTCCGTCTGATCACAGGGTCATATCCACCCATGATCTCTTCTGAATCACTCTGATCATCATCATCATCATCATCATCTTCTTCAAATTCCATCCTCCTGAACCTCACTCTACCCTTAGTTTCCAGACATGTCATTTTCTTCTTACTTTTGGAGTTTGGATTCATCTTTATGGTCGTTTCTGCTTGTCCTCTCTCTATTATTTGTTCATCTTCATCTCTGATGCAATAATCACCCTCCTGAATGATCACTGGAAGCTGAGGATAGACGTCCTTAAACTCTACTTCTTCCTCGTAAGGTGGGGGTCTTTTTGCTGAATCCTTATGTGAGAAAGGTGTATTGACTTCTGCCATTAGTTTTTCTGTTACCTTCGCCTCTTTTGCCATTTTCTCTATACCTCTGTCTCTTTTATCTTTTGTATCTTTTATCAGTTTTCGTCCCTCATTTTCAAACAACTTAAGAACACCCAGCTCTCTTTGTCTCTTTTCTTTACGCTGTTCCCCTTTTTTCCCCTTCTTTTGATCTGCCTTATATGTGGACACAAGCACTTGCATTATTTTAATTACGTCTGGGTTAAGAGTCCCTTCCACTGGCCATGGTTGTTCAATGTCAGGCCAACATTTATTCAATTTTTCAGATAACCTTGCAATACCATTAACTAAAGGGTTACTATTTTGTACTACATCAACAAGAGTAATTACTTTCATAGTTTTTATGTCCTTTTTCCGCATTGTAACAACTCTTTTATATTCCTTTATTGTGAATTATTTAATTATTATTATTATTTTAAACTAATTAATTTGTAAACCAAAAAATACTTTAAGCTATGTTGCTTATCATTCCCTCCTATTTTTTATTTTAAATGTTTTATTTCTACCAAATTATTGATTAGTGGCAATCTTACCACATCCGATAAAGAAAAGTAAAGGAAACTAGTCAACTTCAGAGCAATCAAAAAAGAAAGACCTGTAATCCAGCAACACTACAGCACCCACAAACCAATTGCTTAATAAGCACCCAATCACCTTAATTTTACAGAATAATCTCAGGGCTGGATTTCCAACACAACTCTAATCAAAACAACCCATGCACAAAAAAACTTAAATGTGCAATTCTCAATTACATCAATTGATCAGTCTGTTGACAAGTCCCTGCTAAATGGTCACAACATGAAATATTTTATGCATACACAATGTGTCTATAATATCCTGTAAGGGAAAGTAAGTTTGTGGATAGAACAGTACTGGCCTTAATTGGACTGGATCCGGGACAGCCCACGCTGTCGCGTGACGCACTGGTCAGCACCTCCTCTCTCTCTGTCTCCTCCCTTTCGTCTCTCACACCACAGGAGAACAAAAGAAACAGACAAGAATTTAGTATTTTATGTACTCACTGGGTTATTTCAACCATACAATACCCTTTTAGACATACCTATGTTCACATTCGCGCTAAGAAATAAGCAAACAGCTTAACTCAGGAATATTATAAATAGCGCAATAACATTTTATTTTATTTATTTATTTTCATTTTTAATCCGTCAACATAGCTCTCATTTATAAATTCAATGAATCTCAAATCAAATAGGTTCATAGTTACGCAACAGCCACTTAACAAACAGAATACTTTATTTATGTGTACTCAAATCTCCCCCTTTCTTTTTTCAGCTATAAGTCTGCGTGTCACAGCAGCTCAGTGCAGGCAGGGGAGTGGCATATTTGTTCTGTTTAACTACAAAATCCTAGAACTCCACACATGCGCAGTTCATTTATTAGTGCGACTTCAGGGTGAGAGGAGCGCTCCTGCAAGTAACTTTTCTCTAAGTCAAACAGCAGACAGACCAGCTGTCCCTCCGTTCTTTCCAACAAACCACATTTACCACACAGACAACAGTAACACTTAACAAAACGCACAAACCAACACAAAACATAGAACACAAATCCTACTTCGAAGTTTCTTAACTTTACTTTAGTCTATTTTCTCTCTCCTCTTTCTTCACCCATTCTACTCCAATCTGCAGATGTATAGTTATTGTCTTATCCATTACAAATCCTCTCTATACAATCATAACGTCCTCCCGGGGGCTCATAGATTTTAACAAATTTGAAAATGTTCTCTCAAATGGAGACTCATAAGGTTTTAACCGTAATTAACAGATTTCCTTACAAAAAACTAAAACCCCTGTTCTCAACCACAACATATATATGTATATATATCTAACATAACATCTTATCATAGCATGAGTCGAGCATATAACTCTCTGCACAATCCACACAGCTCAAACACAGCAGAGACATCTTTATTTGCGCACACACACACTCTCTTTCTCTCACACACACATGAAAACTATTCAATCAACAAGAATGCATCCATTCATACAATTCCAAAAGCATGCTTCCGTCGCTCCTTTTCCTTTATATTCCTTCCTAAATTTATGCTACCTTGAGTTGCAGATATTCAATGAGAGGCTACTTCGGACATATTCCTCGTCAACTATATACCGAGAGGTAACATACAATTGAATGTGTATTCTACAAACTCACAGTCCCTTGGAACTGACCCTAAAATTCACCTAGTGACTTCCCAGGATTTGTGGCCCATCTAATGATCGCCTCATTTGAGGGCTTCCGTAGATCAGCTACGTCCTAATTAGTATACATTTTTCCTTAGTTCCTTGTCCCTTATTTCTTCATTCTATTCCTTTTTCCCTTAATTTTATTCAAGCCAAACTTCCCTGGGCCCAGTGTTATCAATTCCTTTTTTTCCTTTGATCCTGTATTATATACATACTCCCCCCTGTTTGCGTTGTTTCCAACGCAAACAAATTTAGAAATTTAGAACGGAATCTCATCACACAGCAATAACAGCACACAGGTTGTTCACGGTGCGTCCCCCCAACGCACACACAGTCACACGAACTGACCAGCGCCCAAAGTTGTGAGAAAGCTCACCCTTATCTGCCGGACTCTGGAGCGAGAGTCAGCTCGGAGCCCATGATGGAACGCTGAAACAGACGCAACACGTCCCAAAATCCTCGTCTCCAATTTCTGTGGTGGCCGAACAATGCTGCTGAGATGCTGTGTTGACAAGGAATCCGCTGACACTGTACTTGATTATAATGGTTTATTATATCAAAGATTTCAGCATCAATTTACAGACTTCTGCAGAATCTGGAGAGCAACAAACCCAATCTCAAATATGATCACTCTCCCCGTCCCTTTGTTCAAACATGGTATATATCCTATGTAACATAAGATGGCGTGTTTTGAATAGACCAATCCCTGGCCTCCACATATCTCGATGTCCACTGTTTTAGGGGGCCCCTATAGTAATACTTTCCAGATGTTTCAGCAAAGCAAAGTAGAGTTCATTTAACCAACAATATGAAAACCTCAGCCAAAGCTATAAATGTTCAGATACTACACATGCTCTTCAACCGAACGCTGCTTGCACCCGCCCACCTGACTAGAATCACTACTCTCGGCGGGTCTGACCTAGAGTATGTGGACAACTACAAATACCTAGGTGCCTGGTTAGACTGTAAACTCTCCTTCCACACTCACATTAAGCATCTCCAATCAAAAGTTAGATCTAGAATCGGCTTCCTATTTCGCAACAAAGCCTCCTTCACTCATGCTGCCAAACATGCCCTCGTAAAACTGACTATCCTACCGATCCTTGACTTCGGCGATGTCATTTACAAAATAGCCTCCAACACTCTACTCAGCAAATTGGATGTAGTCTATCACAGTGCCATCCGTTTTGTCACCAAAGCCCCATATACTACCCACCATTGTGACCTGTACGCTCTTGTTGGCTGGCCCTCACTACATATTCGTCGTCAAACCCACTGGCTCCAGGTCATCTATAAATCACTGCTAGGCAAATCCCCGTTTTATCTTAGCTCACTGGTCACCATAGCAACACCCACCCGTAGTCTGCGCTCCAGCAGGTATATCTCACTGGTCATCCCCAAAGCCAACACCTCCGTTGCCCGCCATTCCTTCCAGTTCTCTGCTGCCAATGACTGGAACGAACTGCAAAAATCTCTGAAGCTGGAGACTCTTATCTCCCTCACTAACTTTAAGCGTCAGTTGTCAGAGCAGTTTACCGATCACTGCACCTGTACACAGCCATTCTGAAATTAGCCCACCCAACTACCTCATCCCCATATTGTTATTTATTTTGCTCATTTGCACCCCAGTATCTCTATTTGCACATCATCTTTTGCACATCTATCATTCCAGTGTTAATACGAAATTGTAACTATTTTGCACTATGGCCTATTTATTGCCTTACCTCCATAACTTACTACATTCACACACACTGTATATATATTTTCTGTTGTATTTTTGACTTTATGTTTTGTTTACCCCATATGTAACTCTGTGTTGTTGTTTTTATCGCACTGCTTTGCTTTATCTTGGCCAGGTCGCAGTTGTAAATGAGAACTTGTTCTCAACTGGCTTACCTGATAAAGGTTATATAAAGAAATAAATACAAATAATCCACTTCATCATCCGCTTCCGCCATCTTTTCGCCGGCATTAAACCCATTTTTCACGTTCCTGATCTGAAATCATTTTACCCAACCCCTATGTGAGTTTAGTCATTAAGATATAAAATCAAAACTGATATTAGATCAGCACAAAGGGGACAAATTCGTTGTAGCTTTTTTTTATTTTCGTGCAGGCAATATGAAGGCACTCTTGAATTCTGTTTTAGAAGGACGAGTTTCGGGTCCTTCGATCTTTCTTTCCACCGTACCCGCCATCTTGCGAACTACCGGGGGTAAGATGTGCTCCGTTTTTAAAGACCGTAAAAGCATAAAATATAGTTTTAAATGCATGTAAATACATTGATATGTGTGTTAAAGCATACTCTACATTTGAGGCCAGAAATAATCCGTGAAAGAACGTCTGTGTGGCATATATTGACATGATTAGTGAATGGGGTAGCAGCGTGGCTTCACATGTGGGCCTAGCCACTGCAGCGTTCGCAATAATTGCCGGTTTCTTAGGAATTTACAATGTTGGCATAACCAGATAGCAAATATGGCATGTCCTGTAAAATAACATAACTGTCACGTTGAAGTAAAGTTAACTTGTCAATCTGGGGAAATGAAGCGCTATCGGTATTGGACAGAGTTTGCGAGCTAATTAGCTTTAACTAGCTCTGTTGTAAATCTTGTGTTTTGACTGACGTGCCATGTTTTAAATGCCCCCTTTATAATTGTTAATTAGTATAGTAGCTACCGATGTGTTCTTTACAGTCAAGTTAACTTTGTCAACAGATTGTAATTGTCAGGCGAACGTTAGTCAGACCAGGGTATTGTAAGCTAGCTAGCTAAATGTAATATACAGGGTTTAATTACGTTTTTGTATGTGACAGTAATGCATCCATTGACTTGACTAAATCCGAGTCTACATCATTCTCAGCCACCCTTGTAACCATACATTTTACAGCCACTGTAATGAAGAATGTATACTTTGCCATTGGGTTTCACTAACGTGAATGTCCATGTTCCAGTAATCAGGCATCATGACTAACACAAGAGGCAAGAGGAGGGGGACGAGATACATGTTCAGCCGGGCCTTCCGCAAGCATGGTGAGTTCATATCAGAAAGACTGAAGATATACTGAAATGCCTTAAGTTGCTTTGAGTTATTTAAAAGAAAGCACTCAAGGTTAGGGGTGTTGCTGGCATGAATCCACACTTGAGAAGCCTTCATTAGCTACTCTTAAGGCCATCTTAGAATTGAGTTTTGGTTGGTTGTGAATAGTATATGTACTTTGTTTCTCAGGCCCCATTCCCCTGTCCACATACATGCGTATCTACAGGAAGGGAGATATTGTTGACATCAAGGTAGGTGTTCCACTTTTTCTAGGTGTTTACTGGTAGTGACTGCACTTTCACTGAATTGGTTATATTTTGCTCTTTCGACTTCCCCCAAAACAGAATTCTTAAGATTGTGAATGTCTCTCCTCCAGGGTACAGGTACCATCCAGAAAGGAATGCCTCACAAGTGCTACCATGGCAAGACTGGCAGAGTCTACAACGTAACCCAACATGCTGTCGGCATCATTGTCAACAAGCAGGTCAAGTAAGTACAAAGCAATCTGTGGAGGGGTATGGCAAATTGTCACTATCCATTTCCTTTCCAGCTTGGCCATGTAATGCTCGTTCATAAATTAAAAGGATGTAATTTCAATATCTTTAAAGGAAGGTTGATGTTGCAGAAGTCTGTCGCATCTCAGAACCCCATCTTCACTTTGCCACAAGGGCTGTCCTATGTCCTAAGTGGTCATTCACGTGGGGGACAGTATTTGTCCTTCAGCAACTGGCAAGCACCTACTGTACGTTTTTAACTAGGGTTGTTGAAGGAGACACTTAAAAAAAGCCATTCTGAGTTGAAGTTCATTGCGTAACATGAGTATTTCGATATTCATTGGAAGTGTAATGTTTTCTGTTAAGTCAGGAGGTCAATTACGTTGCATACATCTCTTATGTAAGTGACCAGTAGCCTTTTGTATGTCTCTGATTTAATTCAGAGCTGAAAGCCATGTCCCCTTCTCTCTGTAGGGGTAAGATCCTGGCCAAGAGGATCAACGTGCGTATTGAGCATGTGAAGCACTCTAAGAGCAGGGACAGCTTCCTGCAGCGTGTCAAGGAGAATGAGAAGAGGAAGGTGGAGGCCAAGCAGAAGGGCACCTGGGTCGAACTGAAACGCCAGGTATGGAGAGCACGTTTACCTGGGCCGTTATCAGTAGTGTTTTAATGCTATATTAAGCGGCCTGTACACCCTCCAGGACCAGGCTTGTTGGTCACTATTCTACGTAATTAAACAGTCCAGATTTAAGATATAAAATGGACACCAACGCTGATCTAGTGGAATGTTGCGTCAATCCAGTTCTGTTGCTTGGTTGATGCATTCTGTAATGTTAATTCAGCCATGTCATTATTTCTGATACATAGTCCTTTGAATTGTTTGTATTTTAAGTAGTGGCATCTCATCTGTGCATTTGTCGTTTCCTCTTCATCTCTCCCTGCAGCCCACTGCTCCCCGTGACGCCCGCTTCGTCAGCACCAAGGGCAACCAACCCCAGCTGCTGGAGCCCATCCCATATGAGTTCATGGCATAACTGTGCTGACCAAAATACAAAATGTTTATACACAACCATTTGTGTCGACTTGAGTCTCTTATGGATGCACGATACCACGGCTTAGTCACTATTACTGCATGTCCAAGACTGGGGGAGAGAGTGAGAATATGAGTGAAGATCGAGTGGTACAGTTTAATGTAGGGTCTAACCAGGAAGACTGAAGTTGCTGCTGTCGTTCAGTAATGGTTCTCCTCCAGTGATCACTCAAAGTGAATTGAAATTAAATGCTATTTCTATTTCACCGGCGAGCTGAGAATGACAAGCACAGTAGTCTCAAAGTACATACAGCTTGAACTCAAAGACCCACTAAGAATACTAAACTTGAGTTAGCCCTTCTCAAAAATGTGGCGTGTGCAATCAATTGCTTGCCCAAAATAAAGCAGACAATCTGGGGGTATATTGAGTAGAAAGGCTTGAACATATTGTGAATATGTCTGTGTACAGGGCAGACATGATTTGTGCCAAATTATCAATCTACATGCAACATTTTAAACTTTGCACCCTGTTGAATGTACCCCTGGTATGTCTGTTGGAGTGCCAGTCAGTCCAGCAGAGGGCAATGTGCACCAGGATAAGTGCCATGTTATGTATGCCTATGAGCTGCAGTAGGCCACTTCTGTTTTCAATGTGAGAAATTACATTCCCGTGACTGATTGAATATCCAGGTTCCTGAGAATACATTTCCAGAGAAAGCAACGCACTAAACAGTGATTGTGTCCTTGGTGACCCCATTCTCCGAAGGTGTCTCGGGGAGAGGGATATGCAAAAAAATAAATAATAATCCAGATCACATGCGTATTACACACTTGTAGATGAGTGAAATAGGACAAATATAAGCACCCTCCATATTATTATGAGTAGAGGACACTGATTTGGCCGTTTGTACTCAAAGGACATTTGGTGCTCAATCACAGCATTGGCTGAGAGTAAATAGTATACATTGCATGCATTGTTCTTCATTTAAGTGTTACATCTTTCTGGTTACGCGACCATGCAGTCATGCCTGTTATGTGTGTTTGTCTGTGTGCTCTGGGGTTGGTGTGTGTGTGGGCAGTAGGGACCACCTCTGCCGTATCTTGACATGTGCTGTTTAATCAGTGGAGGCTGACTGGATATCTGACAAATACTGTATGTTATCTCAGTACTTTACCCAATATTTACTCCAATTAGCACCAGTTTCCTGAGATAGTAGCAGCAGCTGGAAGGGGTAGATAGAAAGAGAAAACAAACTTTCTCTCGAGTGTTTCCATTTTTTTCAGGTATAATGAAGCATATCATGAATGTTAAGATATGACAATTTATCATTTTGTTTTTTGAAATGTCCACTACAGAAGACATTTCTTGATAAGCTCTTATTTAATATGATACAATTATTACACAGCCCTGACAACTCACTTAACTAGTCCTGAGTTATTCACTTACTAGACACAATTTGAATATCAAACTCACAAAAATGATAATAATTGTGCTTCTTTTCAAATGTCCATAAAATGTGCTAATTTTGACAGCAGACATTTTTTTAAGAACCAGGAAAATAAAGTGGTAATGTCACATCCTCACATGTGATATTATTGAAAAGCCCAGAATGTCCTTCCAAAGGGACACAGTGGCATGTATGGCCTCAGAGATACGGACCAAGAACTGATGTCTACAAGAGAGAACAAAAATGAATTGCTGGGTCTCAGGAGGCTATATAACCCTCCATAAGACCGTAACCCTCTGTTATCTCTGGCTGTCTCCCTAAGGGTAGAAGATACAGACACCTGCCTTATCAAACTGGTGTAATAAGTCTCCAACAAGCTGAATTAACACATGAACCCAAAATCAATGTGATCAATCAGCAAGGCACATCCAAATCCCTGTTTATTGATCAGTATAGACTACATTGGGGCCTGGGTGTTGTTCAGATAACATTCTATGGTGTTGGGCACCTACTGTTTCACCTATCTTTCTTTTCTCATAGTGATATCAGTCCTGCCAGATAGAATATACAAGGATATGACAAATAGTGTGAGAGAAATAAGGACATTTACAGAAACTGTGTGTGGGATTGTATTACTATCCATGTGGGTACCGGAAATCTGCCAAAATCCCAACAAGGATACTAAAACAAGGAAAATTCTCCCTTGTGGGGACATTTCCCAGGTCCCCATGAGTACAAATGATATTTTAGGTTCAAGGGTTAGGTTTAGGGTTACAGAAAATAGGATTTTTAATGGAAATACATGTTAGGTCCCAACAAGGATAGTCAAATATATAATGTGTGTGTGAATTTGCTGTCACAGACAGAACAGGCCTTCATCTGGAGTGCTGACTCATGGGAGTTACTGATTGAAGGAGGAAAAAGTAAACAGTCTGAGGGACAGTGAGTGAGGAGAGAGAGAGAGGAGGGGGAGCGTGGAACGGGACATGTGGGTAAAAGCAGTGGATTACTATGTGCTCCTTAATCACACGCGTTTGACACACAGATTGAGGCTGTCGAGGCTGTCAACTCAGCCAGTAGCCCAAAGCAGCCGTATCGACCCTGTGTGTCACACATTAACCACAAACACACACCGCTGGTGGAGGGTGGAGAGCAGAAGCTATATGAGATGATATAACGACGGACATCTTACTGTCTCTCTCTTCCTATCACAATATTCCCATGATTTCATGTTGTTCTCTCAACCCTGCTCGTTTCACCTCTCTCTCTCTCTCTCTCTCTCTCTCTCTCTCTCTCTGTTCTCCTTATTGTCTCTGGCCTGATTAGAGGGGTGTATTTGTGTCAGTAATGTGAGGGAGGAGTGTGTTTGTTTATGTGTGTGTGTTTTGGGGGGTTGACAATGGAGCTAGGAAATCCCAGGCCAAACACAGAACACACTGTATCTCTCTAGGTGATAGTGGACAGATAGGGTCTTTCTCCCCCCTATACTTGTCAGGAGTAGTTATCAGTGGAGACCATGGTCATCCACAGATACAGAGCCAGGGTTATCGATCCCGTCCCCTGTCAGTGGAGGGATTGGGACTGTGCGGGAAAGGCTGATAACGGTGGCAGCTGACCCAGGCCGGGTGACCTGAAGCGTGGGAGGGAGCAGAGGTAACACCCTGGGGTTCTCAATAGGCCTCATTCAGAGAAGCCATTCTAAGGTTTCATACCAGATCATGGCACATGCATGGTAGTTGGTCTCTAGTCGTTAGGTAATGTACAGACCATATTGGATTGAAGATTTTCTGATTTCTGATTTGGGTCAAGCTTTCCTGAATTCAGAAATAGGCTACCTAAATTCACAATTAAAGTATCCTTGTGGAAACATATTATACTGTTAATCCAATCAAGTCTAAATAAAGAGCAGTGTCATAGAATTGGGAGTGGTTTGAACTGTCCACAGGATTGGATGAGTCAGGTTTGAAGAGGATCACATTGGGACAGAGCAAGAGAATGAAGACTGGGTTGTGACTGTAAATCACACCTATCATAGAACAATATGGAGGAGGTTGATAAGACCACGATTAGGGCTGTAAATTTCACGTGTGTGTGAAGACTGGAGACAGAGAGTCGCTCAGCTCAGACTGCAAACGCACACACACACACCACAGACAGAAGATAGCAATGCAGTGTCAGGAGCCTGGATGACAGTTTTAAAGCCTACAATCAATCAGAGAAAGGCAAGCTCAAAGACCTGAATCGCAACAACTGCTGTTCAGTAAAAATGATCAATGACTAGTCTAGTCTACTGAATTCACCAATAACAGATAGGACTAATCTAGGTCTAGGAAATCAGAGCCAGAAACACAATCACATCCATTTGCAAGAGTGGCTATTTTGCTTCAATCTCAAGCAGTAGCCTATTTCATTGTAGGCCATGAATGTAAGTTTAAAGCTGCAATATGTAACTTTTTGGACGACCCAACCAAATTCACATAGAAATGTGTGTTATAGATCTGTCATTCTCATTGACAGCAAGTCTAAGAAGCGGTAGATCTGTTCTCTGTGCGCTATTTCTATGATCCCGTGCTTAAATTTCGTTTTTGTTTCTTTTACTTTCGGTTTTGTACACCAGCTTCAAACAGTTGAAAATACAATATTGTGGGTTCTGGAAAATATATTTCACAGCGGTTTAGAAAGTACAATGGCTCTCTACACTATACTTGCTTGTTTTGTTACATAAACTGAAATTAAGCGAACGATTAGAATTTTAGCAACCAGGAAACGGCAGAGAGATTTCTGCATAGTGCATCGTTAATTAACCCATAGAGATAGATAGAGGACTCTAGTGCCCAAACGCCTGTTGTGGCATGGGCAGTGCCATTGGACTTCCACCATTTTTAAGTAGTCAACTGGGTGGGACTTCCTATGGGTTAAGGAAGTATCACATAATTCCATCCAGGTCATCGGGATCAGCCAATTAATTATATTTGTGAGCAAACATTCCATAACTGCAGGTGGCAGTAAATTGCCAACCTTGGCTTTATACCTGTTCAAACAATACATTTCAGGTGGCAGTGTGCAGCCTTTCAGTTTGTTTACCAACTCATAGAAGTAGTAGAAGAAGAAAAAGTACTACTTCAAAATGGAGATGGCCTTAATGTTTCTGCCCTTGCTCTCACATACACCATAATGGGAGAGATACAATGTTTCTGCCCTTGCTCTCACATACACCATAATGGGAGAGATACAATGTTTCTGCCCTTGCTCTCACATACACCATAATGGGAGAGATACAATGTTTCTGCCCTTGCTCTCACATACACCATAATGGGAGAGATACAATGTTTCTGCCCTTGCTCTCACATACACAATAATGGGAGAGATACAATGTTGTGTCCTCTAACTATCTCTATGATTTAACCAGGTCAAATAATCAGTCTACACTTTACAGTACCTTGCTATAGGCTGGTTTAAAGTCAGGTGTGTGTCGACGCAATTCACTGTTCCAACCTCTTCCAATCAGGAACGAACTAAGTGCAAATGTAGGGTGATGGCTGAATAAAATCACGAAGCAGGTGTCCAATATTAATTTATAAATCATCAATATTTCACCAAAATAATGAAAGTACTTAGACCTGAAATTAATTTAGGCTATTACTGAGCCAGACTTTGCTTTCCATTTTGTTCACTTTCCATTGCGTGGATTGAAACACCCCTGTATTATCCAACAGTGGTATCGTCCATTAAAATATATAGTCCTCAGGTGTGTCAACCCATGTAGGCCGGTAAACGACCTGCCTGCTCGGTTTTGCATTATCAAAACGCCGGCATTGCTACAATTAAAGATGGGGGAAAGGATACAAGTACAAAAAAGCTTTATTTGTTCTTTTGTCAACTGCAATGCCACCTTTAATAAATCATGGAAGTTAGATGCCCATCTTTGCAAACACACAGGTTTGGTGAGTATCTATCCTTCCCAGCTGGCCTCTTTCAACAGATGGTCCAAAACAGGTCTTGAATTTTGAATTTCTGTTAGATCAGATAAATGAGCAGCCTACTGAGTTTCATTTGACTACTACATCAACGTGAATGAATGTCTGCGGGCAGAAACACATGGGGATTTTAGTATTTGTTACAGAGGGATCCATGATGGTGATGTTTCTCTTCGACAGAAACCCTTCTCGTGTGAGAACTGTGACAAGAGCTTCTGTACCCGCTACCAGCTCACCAGACATGGGCTGAGCCACAGTGGAGAGAAGCCATACACGTGAGTATGAAACTTCACAATCCTAAAGGGCAATGGTTCACGGTCACTGACCGGTTGTGTATGAGCCTGGATGACTGATGTTTCTGCCTTCAACAATGTTTCATTGTTGCCTTTCCAAATGATTTGGCCAGACAGTCAGTTGGCTAAAGCAAAGAGACTGGCACCAAAGGTAGGGTTTAGTTGTAAATGGGTTTTGAACCAAATGTTACTGAATGAACTTAAGTAGTAGCCTAACCATTGTGCTGAGTCATGCAATGCATCAATCCTTTAACCTTCCCTCTGGTGTCCCATCTGTTCCTGTGTGTATCTGCAGGTGTCTGGCTGCAGGATGCTCCGAGGCCTTCGTCACACATGCCAGCATGAAGAACCACATGGCTCGTGTTCACCAGCACCAGGAGAAGCACTATAAGGTTGGCTAAGCCGAAATAAGAGTGATACCGTGTGGTTTAGTCTGAAACAAAGCACTGAAAAAATCGTTGACATTTTCCTTACAAGACAGAATGTTTAATAAATTGCATTTGACTTTACTCTACCGCTGCTTGAAATTTGAGACAAAATATCCACAGGAAAGTGTTTACGTGTCTCTTTAGTGCACCAGTATTGAAGTTGACATTTCTATAGACTTGCCCATGTGCAAAGCTATGTAAACACCTGTTAGTATGCGTGCATGTACTTCTGTCTTGTGCACGTGCCTTCGGTCATGGGCCAACCTCTTGATTGCAACAGGTAGACCTGCTTCTTGACTGTTTAATATTTTCCTGTGGATTGTCTGTCTAAAATTTCAACCAGCTGGATGACCAACACCACAGACAATATGCAGAGTAAGTTAAAATAATTGTATTCCACATTCGTGACAGACAAGGGCCGTTTAGTTTTAATGTGCATGGCGTTGCCTACACGGTTGACGGCATTGTCACGTTTCATGACTAAACCCTGAGGCTCACCTTCATCTCCCGATTGCCTTACATTTCACTGATCTCAAACAGTTGCTGGGATATCTTGAATGCCTCGAGACTTCCACTCAACCAGTTTTGTGGGTGAGGAAGTGATGTCGGACTACGACGAAAGTCCTGCTCATTATCATTTATCAGATGTTTGTGAGATGCTGTGATTTGTGTTCCGTTTTAGTGTGACCACGTGGACTGTGGGATGGAGTTCAAGAAGAAAAACAAACTCAATATACACAAGATTATACACACACAACTGCTGCCCTTTCAGTGAGTATGACACACTGGCCTCTACAAGAGAATGTAGGCTCTACCACATTGGGCTGAACTCTGACCCTTTCCCACAGGTGCAACTTTGAGGGCTGTAAGAGAGAATTTGCTGCTCCCGGACAACTAAAGCGCCATGAGAAGGTGCACAAAGGTGAGCCCTGGACCTGCCACACCCATCTCCTAGTCTTCTCAGAGGTCCTGTAGATGTAAGCTTGTTTTATCTAGCCATATCTTTTCACTCCCAGGTTACCCCTGTGCTGTGGAGGGCTGTCCATTCCAGGGGAAGACTTGGTCAGAATATCAGAAGCACAGGAAGGCTGTGCACAGAGGTATGTAGGCCCTCAAACAACGAACACGCCACCCTCTTAACTGTGCTCCAACTCTCATCCCTTTGCATTGTCTTGTGAACTCTCACATGGTCCTAAATGATTTTTATTGACTTAAAACTGATCCAATTGTAAAGTCTTCACTGGTTGTGTTCAGTCAAGCTGCAGTGCGATAGCTGCAGTAGGATGTTCCTGGAGGCATGGTTCTTGAAGCAGCATCAGCTGCGGGTTCACTCCGGTGCGCCCAAGAGGGTGTTCCAGTGCTCCGAAGCTGGGTGTGGGAAGACTTTCACCACACACTTCAACCTGGAGAACCATGTCGTGTCAGACCACGAGGGCAAGAAGCCCTTCTCCTGTACCCACGCAGGCTGTGGCAAGAGCTTCGCTATGCAGGTGAGCTCATGGGACATGACTCGAGTTACAATATGGTATCCTATCACTTCTAAAATAGTTTTGCATAACTCAATCTGGCTCTTTCAGTGGAATATTTGGTGTAAAATGACGTTTTATATTCCTTAGGAGAGTTTGAGACGACACCGAGTGGGTCATGACCCAGAGAAGAAAAAGCTGCAGGTACACCACCGGTATTGTTTGGTATATGGGGGATGAACAGCATCCCTTCATGTAATGTTATAAATACTGCTATTTTCCTTTGCAGAAGGTACGCCCTAAAAAGAGCAAGCCGTCGCGTCAGACTGAGTTGGCGACAGCATCCACACAGGCTGAGACCAGCAGACTGGTTGACAAACTCCATAACACCAGCTTGGGCAACTCTACGCCATAACACTGCTTGGGCTACGCCACACTAACACTCCTGCTCTGACCTGGACTGGTCCATCGGAACCATGGGGGTGTTCTGAAACCTGTGGAACAGGAACCTATTCTTTGCTCCGTGTCAAGTATTTTTGTTCAGTTAGTTTTCAGGAGCAAAATCTTTCAGTTATGTATCAAACACTTATCAAATAAATCCTCACTACTGCATCTCTGGATTCTTGTCAATGGTGGTTTAATGCACTATGAAAGGACTTGTCATTTGCTAGAAATGTTGAGCAATGAGATCTGATCAAAGGACACTGTGCAAATGGCGTGAGTCTCACAAATGACGTGTTCACTTTCATAGCATGTTATGAAGTCTGGTCCTTCATCCTGGGAAGTGTGAGGACTGGGCCCAAAATCTATCTTCTCCAGCAGCGGTTCTTTTACAGTCAAGTGAATTTGGTAAACAAATTAAATGGCTTATTTGCTACGTGTGGCTTATTTAAGACTAGAAGTTTCATGATTAGGTTACGAGTGTACTGATAAGTAGGACACGCGACATCCCAGCAACTTTGAGGAAAACACTTTCTATCGACGTTGTGGCTTTTCACTTGTCTCTGCCCTCAGTGGCTAGAATGGTCCCATCTGATCTTGCTCTGACTGCCTTCCATTTTAAGGCTTTTCATTCTTAGTGGCCACTAGGTGTATCTGTTCAATATAATGGCTAATCTGTAGGTGGGGTGATGGTGAACAAATAGCAGTGTGTGCTTGAAATGCACCACTCAGGGTCCTCACAGAACACTGAATGAACACATCCAGGTGCTGAAATGACTCCTAGCATATGAAAGTGTTTTCCTCTCAGTATGAAGATGTGGAGCCAGGCAGAGGTGGGTAAGAAAACGGACTCAAATGCCCTCTGTTGGAAATATTTATCAAACTGCAGAATTCACACGTAGAAAACCCTAGGGAGCTGATGGCTGGGCCGTCACAGTGTTGAGGCCTAAGGCTGCGTCCAGGGGGTTGGGCCCCCAGGGCGTGGCAGGTATCCGGTAAGGCCTGGGGTTTATTCAGGAGAGAATGGGTGAATGTTTTATCCCGTTTTCTCCTGAAAACCCTAGAAGCAACGCTTAAATGTTTCAGACAGAAATACATGGCCTAGAGCTGATCTATATAATTCTACATGGCAGAGAATCTTATCTGTTCTATGCCGTGAAATTCTAACGTTGTGGCCACCTGAATACACCCCTGGTATCTACAACTGCAGTCCAGTGAAGAGAAACAGTCCAGAGACTATGTACTGTCCTTTAACAGATAGTCCCACTCTCCCTGAGTGGGAGTGAAGACCGATAACATGACCATATGACCACAGCAGTCTGTTTGATGTGGGGCTGACACAGTCCAGCTTAGTATCAAGTGATCTTCCTCCGTAGGGCCCGGTTCACTCTAGACTGGTTTGATGAAGTCTGATTTGGCCCGGGTTACAGTAGGTCCGATCTAGAACAATTTCAGTATGGCATGATTTCGATGCAGTCTAGCATGATTGGGCCCTAGTTAGATCCAGTCTACAGTAATTTCAGTATGGCATGATGCTATGCCAGGCTGCCAGGCCAGGAGACCACGGTGAGAGCCACTCTGCTACGCTGCTCCTTCAGCATGGGTACCAGGGCTGAGTGGCTCATACCAGCCGTAGACAGTCCATTAACCGCCACTATCATGTCCCCACACCTAGGGAACACATACGGGAACAGAGAGGCACATAAACATGGATGGACGATATACAGTAGATATACACCAGTTTATTAGGTACATGGGTCCTCAGATCCTCAAAATGTTCTACAGCTGCACCATCGAGAGTATCCTGACTGGTTGCATCACCGCCTGGTATGGCAACTGCTCGGCCTCCGACCGCAAGGCACTACAGAGGGTAGTGCGTACGGCCCAGTACATCACTGGGGCCAAGCTTCCTGCCATCCAGGACCTCTATACCAGGCGGTGTCAGAGGAAGGCCCTAAAAATGGTCAAAGACTCCAGCCAGCCTAGTCATAGACTGTTCTCTCTGCTACCACATGGCAACGGTACCGGAGCGCCAAGTCTAGGTCCAAAAGGCTTCTCAACAGCTTCTACCCCCAAGCCAAAAGACTCCTGAACAGCTAATCATGTCTACCCTGACTATTTGCATTGTCCCCCCCCAACCCCACCCACACCCCACCCCCTCTTTTAAGCTGCTGCTACTCTGTTTATGATCTATTCATAGTCACTTTAACTCTACCCACATGTACATATTACTTCAACTACCTCGACTTACCGGTGCCCCCGCACATTGACTCAGTACTGGTACCCCCCTTTATATAGGCTCCCTACTATTATTTTATTTTACTGCTGCTCTTTAATAATTTTTGTATTTTTATTTTTTACTTATCTATTTTTTACTCAACACTTTTCTTTCTTAAAACTGAATTGTTGGTTAAGTGCTTGTAAGTAAGCATTTCAATGTAAGGTCTACATTGACCTTAGAACCTGTTGTATTCGGCCCATGTGGCAAATCAAATTGGATTTGATTTGATTTGATTCATGCTGATGGCAGAGTCAGGATTTGGCGTAAGCAGCAGGCACGGTACAGGCTGGTGGGGGTGGTGTAATGGTGTGGGGAATGTTTTCCTGGCACATGTTAGGTCCCTTGATACCAATTGAGCAACGTTTCCATGCCCCGAAGAATTCAGGCTGTTCTGGAGGAAAAGGGGGGTCAAACCCGGTACTAGATGGGTGTACCTAATAAAGTGGCCATGTGAGATAATAAGATAATATAAGATGTACTTTATTGTCCATTAACTTACAGAGAACGGAAATGTGTCTTTATGCTCATAACCCAACAACATGACTGACGGCTTACTTGAGGCGGCCATCGTAGTATGCGGGCGTTCCAAGGACAATGGTCTTGATGAAGAATGCCTGGTTGCTATGGTTTTCCTCGTATCCCCCGACGATGCTGAAGCCCCAGCTCCCAGGGTGACTTCTACGCAGAACAATCTCATGGCTACTGTGAAGGTAGCTGAGATAGAGAGAATACAGAGAGAGAGAGAGATGGATGGAGAGAATGAGTCAGTGTTTTAGTGAGAGGGAGAGAGACAGGTGAAGGAAGAAGGGGGAGATAGAGGGTGAGCCAGGTTTAGTGAGAGAGAGAAGAGCAGGGAGAGAAATAGGGAAGGAGGGCAAGAGAAAGACAGATGGGTAGGGAGGAAACAGAGAGAGACAGATGTGGAGGGAGGAAACAGAGAAAGACAGAAAAGGAGGGAGGAAACAGAGAGAGACAGATGGGTAGGGAGGAAACAGAGAAAGACAGAAAAGGAAGGAGGAAACAGAGTGAGACAGATGGAGAGGGAGGAAACAGAGAAAGACAGAAAAGGAGGGAGAGAAACAGAGAGAGACAGAAAAGGAGGGAGAGAAACAGAGAGAGACAGAAAAGGAGGGAGAGAAACAAAGACAGCAGAAGAAAAGGAGAGAGCGCTAGAAAAAAGGAGGGGTGAGTTTGAGGCTGCTCTCTGTACCAGCCTAAGAAGGATGAATTGTGGAGAGACGTTGGGGATGTCACCACATGTCTCTCAGTTGATAATCCTCACTACAGCTGTTAATGTTTACAGCATAGTTCTGGACAACACACACACAAACATAACGCCCCGTATGGACCGCCTTACGTAACACACACACCCTGGCCCACACGCATACCAACATACACACATAATAGTGACACATGACATGAGAGACATATACAGTGAGGGAAAAAAGTATTTGATCCCCTGCTGATTTTGTACGTTTGCCCACTGACAAAGAAATTATCAGTCTATAATTTTAATGGTAGGTTTATTTGAACAGTGAGAGACAGAATAACAACAACAAAAATCCAGAAAAACACATGTCAAAAATGTTATAAATTGATTTGCATTTGAATGAGGGAAATAAGTATTTGACCCCTCTGCAAAACATGACTTAGTACTTGGTGGCAAAACCCTTGTTGGCAATCAGAGGTCAGACATTTCTTGTAGTTGGCCACCAGGTTTGCACACATCTCAGGAGGGATTTTGTCCCACTCCTCTTTGCAGATCTTCTCCAAGTCATTAAGGTTTCGAGGCTGATGTTTGGCAACTCGAACCTTCAGCTCCCTCCACAGATTTTCTATGGGATTAAGGTCTGGAGACTGGCTAGGCCACTCCAGGACCTTAATGTGCTTCTTCTTGAGCCACTCCTTTGTTGCCTTGGCCGTGTGTTTTGGGTCATTGTCATGCTGGAATACCCATCCATGACCCATTTTCAATGCCCTGGCTGAGGGAAGGAGGTTCTCACCCAAGATTTGATGGTACATGGCCCCGTCCATCGTCCCTTTGATGCGGTGAAGTTGTCCTGTCCCCTTAGTAGAAAAACACCCCCAAAGCATAATGTTTCCACCTCCATGTTTGACGGTGGGGATGGTGTTCTTGGGGTCATAGGCAGCATTCCTCCTCCTCCAAACACGGCGAGTTGAGTTGATGCCAAAGAGCTCCATTTTGGTCTCATCTGACCACAACACTTTCACGCAGTTCTCCTCTGAATCATTCAGATGTTCATTGGCAAACTTCAGACGGGCATGTATATGTGCTTTCTTGAGCAGGGGGACCTTGCGGGCACTGCAGGATTTCAGTCCTTCACAGCGTAGTGTGTTACCAATTGTTTTCTTGGTGACTATGGTCCCAGCTGCCTTGAGATCATTGACAAGATCCTCCTGTGTAGTTCTGGGCTGATTCCTCACAGTTCTCATGATCATTGCAACTCCACGAGGTGAGATCTTGCATGGAGCCCCAGGCCGAGGGAGATTGACAGTTATTTTGTGTTTCTTCCATTTGCGAATAATCGCACCAACTGTTGTCACATTCTCACCAAGCTGCTTGGCGATGGTCTTGTAGCCCATTCCAGCCTTGTGTAGGTCTACAATCTTGTCCCTGACATCCTTGGAGAGCTCTTTGGTCTTGGCCATGGTGGAGAGTTTGGAATCTGATTGATTGATTGCTTCAGTGGACAGGTGTCTTTTATACAGGTAACAAGATGAGATTAGGAGCACTCCCTTTAAGAGTGTGCTCCTAATCTCAGATCGTTACCTGTATAAAAGACACCTGGGAGCCAGAAATCTTTCTGATTGAGAGGGGGTCAAATACTTATTTCCCTCATTAAAATGCAAATCAATTTATAACATTTTTGACATGCGTTTTTCTGGATTTTGTTGTTGTTATTCTGTCTCTCACTGTTCAAATAAACCTACCATTAACATTATAGACTGATTATTTCTTTGTCAGTGGGCAAACCTACAAAATCAGCAGGGGATCAAATACTTTTTTCCCTCACTGTACATCCCAATACCGAACACACTCAAACACAATCTCCACAGATGACTTCAGGTGGATCTCAATAGTCTAAAATGTATTCCTTTCCTCAGCTTCACCTACACTAACATGAAACCACTAAATAAAGTCAAAGCTATACTTTCACACAAACTCCCAATATCCCAAACACCCCAAATGAGTCCAACCCAAACAGGTGTGTGTGTGTGTGAGGGGTATCTTCTCTGTACCTTGGCAGGCCGAGCCACATGACCCAGGAAGGGGACCAGGAGGAGTCGTAGTCTGAGTTGTGTGTGTGGTGGTGTGGGGGCAGCAGCTGGTCCTCGGGGCTCTGGCCCTGGCCCGGCTCCTCCACCATGCTGACCTCCAGCGCCCTCAGCTGGATGGAGGGCGATGCAGCGCTGGCCTTCAGGGTGCCCACCGCCTCGCTGTGGCTCAGGTAGGTCAGGTCCTGGCTGTTGATACTCAGAAGGATGTCACCTGGAGGGGATGAGAGTGTGGGGGGCAGGGGAAGGGGGGGGGGGGGGTAGAAGGAAAGAGTGTGAGAGAGAGGGAAAAGAGAGAGAGGGGCAGCAGGAGTGGGGGAAACAGAGGGAGGGATAGAAAGATAGAGGACAGAGAAAAACTGTTAGTTAGGGACAAATAGTCCTGAGAGACATTGACCTCTGAGACTACAGCTGAAGCAGATAATGAGCACGGGAAGAGAGCCAAACCAAAAACTGACAACTTGAATTAGGCCTTGAGAATAATATTGGAAGCTCCCACTGGATGATGTGGGCCATTGCTCACCTCGTTTGATTCGTCCATCACGTGACAGGCAGCCATGTGGTTGGACGCTGGTCACAAAGATGGGCAGCTCGCCGCTCTTGCTGCCCCGCCCCCCCGCCACAGTCATACCCAGAGATTCATGAGGCTCCTTCTTCACAGTGATGTGTTTCTCCTTACAGGTCACACACTGGGACAGGTCCTACACACACACACACACACACACACACACAGACAAACACACACGATAAGAGAGGTCAGTGTACACATTGGGAGAGGCCTCCAGCATACAAAGATACACATGAACAGACACAGTCAGACACACACACTCCCCTCAGGTGTGTGTACTCACTCTGTGGGTGCTGGAGCGGGCCAGGTGGGCGCAGGTAGGCACTGGGCTGGGGCTGGGGGAGAAGCTGTAGTGGTGGTGGTGGTGATTGGGGAGGAAGTGGTCATGGCAGTACAGGTCTCTGTTGGAGGTGGAGCTTGGTGGAGAGGTAGGCTTGCTGGGCCGGCCAATCAGTAGAAATACTCTCTCGCCACTGGCCTGTAGTCAACAGGGAAAGGGAGTAGGGTTAGGCATGAGCCAAGAGGAACTGTCCCAACTCACCGTTTCAGAAACACTGTTTCAACCCTAGCCTTACCTGTATGATCTGAGCAGCCTGTTCAGGCGTGCCGTGGCGTAGGTCCTGTTCATTGACCGCCAGCACGCGATCGTTACTACACAGCCTCCCGTCCTTGGCCGCTAAGCCGCCGTCCAGCAGGTCTAACACAAACACCCCCTCCTCGTCCGTCCTCCGCACCAGCTTGATGCCCAGCTGCTCTGACGAGTCCCGCTTGTGCAGGGTGATCCTCAGGCTGGCAGGGCTGGATGGGGTGCTCTCTGGGGTGGAGCAGGGGGCGTGAGGCACAGAACGGGTGGTGAAGGGGGGCGGGCGAGAGGTGCAGCGGCGCTCCCTCAGGACAGTGAGCTGTAGCATGGCACAGGGGCGTGCAAACGTGGAGCGGGCAAAGTTATGGGGCACGTTGCTGATGTCTACACTGTTGACCTGGGAAGGGGGAGAGAGAGAGCAGTTAAAGGGATACTTTGGGATTTTAGCAATGAAGCCCTTTATCTACTTCCTCAGAGTCAGATGAACTCATGGATACCATTGTTATGTTTCTGCATCCAGTATGAAGGAAGTTAGAGGTAATTTTGCGAGCCAATGCTAACTAGCATTAGGGCAATGACTGGAAGTCTGCGGTATCTACTAGCATTCTAGCAGTTACCATAGACTTCCAGTCATTGCATCAGAGATATTAGAGAAAGGAGGAGATAGGAATCCCATTGGACAATGAATGGAGGAACGTATAACACCTCACCCAGCAGACTGTCGACCAATCGCATTCACGTAGTCATGCTGCGTCACGAGGTTGCTAAGCTAATCATCATGCAATCCCTTCTCAAAGTCAGGTTCGAGAAACCTGCCTATTTTCCTTGAAAGTACGTACGGTCACGATTGCAAAGCTATACGATATTACAGAGAACAAGTGAACTATCTCACATCTCTGAAAATATTTGTAATGTTGTACTTCTTGTTGACTAAATTCATGCTAATGTTGAGTTTTGGAGCTAGTGCACAATTTACTCCCATTCACTCCTTGAAGGAGAGCTCTCCTTGTCCCAGAATCTCCCAGAATGCACTGCGTGGTCCATGGACGGCGCATAGGCAACGTATACAATGGGCGTTAATATGATTCCAAAGGAGCTTCCCATCTCCTTAAATGTATCTCTGATTGCATCTACTAGCATGCTAGCAGTTACCATAGACTTCCAGTCATTGCGCCAACGCCAGTTAGCAATTGTGCTAACGCTAGTTAGCAACTTCCTTCAAACTGCACGCAGAAACATAAAAATGGTATCCATGAGTTCATCTGACTCTAGGGAAGTAGATAAAGGGCTTCATTGCCAAAATCCTGAAGTATCCCTTTAAGAGAGGAGGATAAGAGAGAAGGAGGAGGAAAGAGGGGTGAAGTGTTTAGGAAAAGGAAGGGAAGAGGGGTGAAGTGTTCAGGAAAAGGAAGGAAAGAGGGATGAAGTGTTCAGGAAAAGGAAGGAAAGAGGGGTGAAGTGTTCAGGAAAAGGAAGGAAATAGGGGTGAAGTGTTCAGGAAAAGGAAGGAAAGAGGGGTGAAGTGTTCAGGAAGGAAGGGAAGAGGGGTGAAGTGTTCAGGAAAAGGAAGGAAAGAGGGGTGAAGTGTTCAGGAAAAGGAAGGGAAGAGGGGTGAAGTGTTCAGGAAAAGGAAGGGAAGAGGGGTGAAGTGTTCAGGAAAAGGAAGGAAGTGTTCAGGAAAAGGAAGGGAAGAGGGGTGAAGTGTTCAGGAAAAGGAAGGAAAGATGGGTGAAGTGTTCAGGAAAAGGAAGGAAAGAGGGGTGAACTGTTCAGGAAAAGGAAGGGAAGAGGGGTGAAGTGTTCAGGAAAAGGAAGGAAAGAGGGGAGATAGAAGAAAGATCACAGCCATGCAGGACCTGTAGTATCTGGTCCCCGGCCAGAAGCCTGCCATCTCGAGCAATGACCCCGTCACGGTAAACTTCCTGGATCACCACGTTGATGAGGGGCGTCTCGTTGCCCCCGACGATGCTGATGCCCAGTTCTACATATGGGTTGGAGCGGTGGACCTCGATGGTGGTGATCTCACCCTCTGGAAGGGATGGCAGCTTCACACAACCTGGGAGATACACAGGGACATGTAAGCACATCAATCTCTAATATTCATAAATGTTTAGATTCAAGGCATTTAGAGAGGAAGGTTAGGGACAGGAAGTCAGATGGAGGAAGTGATGTAATACCCTCTTCAGCGGAGAGGGGCGGGGACTCGGGGCAGTCCCACCCTGAGGAGGCGGCGCTGGCGGTGCGGAGGAGGTGGATGCAGGGGTTACTGAGGGGTCGCTTTACCCTGGGCACCACACACTCCAACCCTACCACACCTACACACAGAGAGAGGGGTTAGTAACACACACACACACACACACAGACACACACATACACAGTTGTTACTCTCACTCACTGTCCTCCTCAGTGCTCTCCTCGAAGGCGGGGTTGTCCAGTCCAGGCTCGTCACTCCACATGGGGACACTGCTGCTGGCGGCGGAGGTGCCACCAGGGGGCAAGGGGGAGCTCTCCTCCTGCAGGTCTGTCTCCGTCTGGGGGGAGTGGGGGGACCTGGGTGGGCTGGTCACCATGGCTCCCTCCTCCCCGTGATCACATGGTGGGCCCTGTAAATTGGTCTGCTGAGACCGCGTCCCTGGACACCTGGACACAGAGAGAGAGGGATATGGGGGGGGGTTATACAACTGGCCAATGTTCTCTCTAAGCTGCTCGCGTGAGATGCACGAGATTAAACTTTCTAGAGTTTTTCCCATTAGTTAACACTATCAACGTTTCCCTTTACTGTGGGAATTCTGATCGAATCAACGCAATATTAGCCACTTTCAATGCAACATACCAAAAACAAAACGAACTATGCAAGAGGTAGTATGCAAAACTAACTATGCAAGAGATTTAGTTGTAGGCAGAACGCATCGGAGTAGGATTCTATTGCATTGACAGGCACAATTCAAGGCCGGTGCGCCATAACCAATCAGAGCTGCAGTAGGCCTATATGAAAATAGACCATTTCCATATATGGGGGAGTGATCGCTTCCTACAACAGCACAAAACGTGTGCATTTCCAGACATCTTTGAAAAGCCAGTCAGGTAAAGAGCTTTTTTTTGTCTTAAAGGGGCAGTGTTGTATTTTGAGACAGGCTTGAGTAAGCTAAGTAGCCAATAGGCAGAGGGTAGCATAATTTGTCTAATTATCTGTAATAATGGTATGGGACTAATGATGCATTCTATTTTGTAAAGGGGTTTCTTGCATCAAACAACACAACAACATTTTCAGTCACCTCCTTGTCTGAAGGACAAGTGGATAAACAGGTTAATGTCAAACCCTGTATGTTATTTTCAAAAGTCTCATGGAATGTAGGGCTACATTGAACACCACACATTGGCTGCTAGTGTAGGCTGAACGATAGAACAACTATTTCCATGTTAAAATGTTATGGGATGCATTTTCTCCATTGTTTTTGAAGTAGGCCACTCTGGTAGGCCTACATTATGATCAAATTGCCACAGTAGCCTACTTGACCACTGTTAAAACTAACTTAAAGCAGGTACAGCCTCAATGTTCACAGTAAACGCTCGCCTGAAGTTGCACAGAATTTTCACAACATTAAAATTTGCGCTCAGCAGGCCTGAAATTTGCTCAGTGCCGAAAAGAATGAGAGGGAACATTGCAACTGGCTGCACATATACTGAGCTGACATACGTTTCACACACATGCTGTATGCATGAAAAGATACACAACCTGCCACCATTGAGTTCAGCTCATAAACAGGTACAACAGAAAATATCAGGAAACCTATTGCATTGAAATAGAGCTGTGTTTCTCAACCCCTGGTAGCAGAGGTCCCTGGGATGTTGCCGACCAGGCCCTCCGAAGGACGTTCCAAGTGCCCTGGCATGTTTCTGTTCTACTCTAATGGGTGCGGCAGTGTCCAATCCCTGACTTTAAGGAAGCTGTAGGACCATAAACAATGTTAAATGTCCAAGCTGACAGACACCCAATTCTGTCTCTCATGATCTCATCCCGTCCTTAGCTCCATTCCTGTTGTAGGGCTGGGGCAGGGGCACTAACCACGTGGATCTGGGCCTTACTCTAAAGATGCCATAAGAACAGAGCAAAGAATGCACAGTCACAAAACAGACACCTCAGAGAGACCTCATTAGGGACCACTTAGAATGAGACAGATCTCACCTGCCAGAACATGAATGCCCAGTGGGAAGCCATTTTGGATATGCTTGTCCAGCAGCTGAGGAGAAGTTGTAGTGGACATCTAGCCTTAGGCTATCCTTCCATCCTCCCTTACTTCCTTCATTCATTCATTGAGGTAATCACTGATTGACGTTGTTGGCAATCTCATTGGTATCACCAATCACACCTTGGCACATCATTGATGACTTTGAGGGAGGAAGGAAGTAAGAGAGGATGCACTTTAAAATAATTAGAATTAAGCTATAGCGGACACTGGGCCAAAGGCTGGACTGGACAGTACAGGGCAGAGAGGGCTAGGGAAGGGGTGGGTGTCCCGTGCCCAGACAGCTGACTCAGGGAAAGCCTGTTAGTGTTAACAACAGCTCATTAGCCTTAGCTCGTTAAGGTAAATCTCCCCTGAGACCCGGACGTTTAGCAGCTATAACCTTAATAACCACGCATCAATACAGCAATGGAGAGTTTCCCTAGGGATAGCTACAGAATGTGGAATACAGCAAAAGTTGGCATTCATTTGGTCTAGTCCAGAATCAGTCCAGAACCTCACACAGTTCAGTGTAGCCTAGTAACCAGTATGTTCCAGCTTTATCCAAATCCTTTGTTGTTGTCATGTCACAGCAGGAGTCAGGACAACAACAAACGGGTTGGTAAGATACATCTCTACACAGTAATTGCAATGTATGTCCTATTCGCTGATTCAAACACTACAAAGTTCAGCATCAATTTATCACATCTTAGAGGCCAAATTCTACACTGTTTCAACCGACATCTACACATATTTTAGTACTTTACACAACAGACCTCACTCACTGCAGATATAGTAGCTACATACACCAACACATCTCACAGCTACCACTACCCTGCTGAGCTCCCCACCAGCACACACCCTGAGCTATGTGTGTGTGTGAGGCTTTGTGGGTTGATCACCCAATTAGAGAGGCGCTAGAACAGCCAGATGTATTACCCTACTACCGAACTCACCACAGGTCAGGGTTGCCCTTGGCAGTGTCACAGAAAAAGTGGTTGAACAGGTCTCTGGAGTTGAAGTTTCCCAGCATGGTGGAAGTCAGAGGACACGTAGCCTCCGCCGGACAACACATGACCAAGTCACTGGCTGGTAATCCCCAGTCACACGACCAGGGATGTAATAACCACTGTGTGGTCTCCCAGGGGGGAGCTGCTTGTAAGAAACAGGTCCAGCATCAGTTGATCATAGTCAGCCCTAACCTTAAAGGTCCAATGCAGCCGTTTCTATCTCCATATCAAATCATTTCTGGGTAGCAATTATTTACCTCACTGTGATTGTTTTTAATTAAAACGGTAAAAAATAAACCAAAATAGCTTCTTAGCAAAGAGCAATATCTTTTGCTAGGGTCTGTCTGGGAGTGGTCTGAGTGGGGAGGGGGTAACTGAAAACTAGATGTTATTGGCAGAGAGGTTTGGAACTCTTTTTCTTATTGGTCTATTACAGTGGGGAAAAAGGTATTTAGTCAGCCACCAATTGTGCAAGTTCTCCCACTTAAAAAGATGAGAGAGGCCTGTCATTTTCATCATAGGTACACGTCAACTATGACAGACAAATTGAGAATTTTTTTTCCAGAAAATCACATTGTAGGATTTTTAATGAATTTATTTGCAAATTATGGTGGAAAATAAGTATTTGGTCACCTACAAACAAGCAAGATTTCTGGCTCTCACAGACCTGTAACTTCTTCTTTAAGAGGCTCCTCTGTCCTCCACTCGTTACCTGTATTAATGGCACCTGTTTGAACTTGTTATCAGTATAAAAGACACCTGTCCACAACCTCAAACAGTCACACTCCAAACTCCACTATGGCCAAGACCAAAGAGCTGTCAAAGGACACCAGAAACAAAATTGTAGACCTGCACCAGGCTGGGAAGACTGAATCTGCAATAGGTAAGCAGCTTGGTTTGAAGAAATCAACTGTGGGAGCAATTATTAGGAAATGGAAGACATACAAGACCACTGATAATCTCCCTTGATCTGGGGCTCCACGCAAGATCTCACCCCGTGGGGTCAAAATGATCACAAGAACGGTGAGCAAAAATCCCAGAACCACACGGGGGGACCTAGTGAATGACCTGCAGAGAGCTGGGACCAAAGTTACAAAGCCTACCATCAGTAACACACTACGCCGCCAGGGACTCAAATCCTGCAGTGCAAGACGTGTCCCCCTGCTTAAGCCAGTACATTTCCAGGCCCGTCTGAAGTTTGCTAGAGTGCATTTGGATGATCCAGAAGAGGATTGGGAGAATGTCATATGGTCAGATGAAACCAAAATAGAACTTTTTGGTAAAAACTCAACTCGTCGTGTTTGGAGGACAAAGAATGCTGAGTTGCATCCAAAGAACACCATACCTACTGTGAAGCAAGGGGGTGGAAACATCATGCTTTGGGGCTGTTTTTCTGCAAAGGGACCAGGACAACTGATCCGTGTAAAGGAAAGAATGAATGGGGCCATGTATCGTGAGATTTTGAGTGAAAACCTCCTTCCATCAGCAAGGGCATTGAAGATGAAACGTGGCTGGGTCTTTCAGCATGACAATGATCCCAAACACACCGCCCGGGCAACGAAGGAGTGGCTTCGTAAGAAGCATTTCAAGGTCCTGGAGTGGCCTAGCCAGTCTCCAGATCTCAACCCCATAGAAAATCTTTGGAGGGAGTTGAAAGTCCGTGTTGCCCAGCGACAGCCCTAAAACATCACTGCTCTAGAGGAGATCTGCATGGAGGAATGGGCCAAAATACCAGCAACAGTGTGTGAAAACCTTGTGAAGACTTACAGAAAACGTTTGACCTGTGTCATTGCCAACAAAGGGTATATAACAAAGTATTGAGAAACTTTTATTATTGGACCAAATACTTATTTTCCACCATAATTTGCAAATAAATTCATTAAAAATCCTACAATGTGATTTTCTGGATTTTTATTCCTCATTTTGTCTGTCATAGTTGACGTGTACCTATGATGAAAATTACAGGCCTCTCTCATCTTTTTAAGTGGGAGAACTTGCACAATTGGTGGCTGACTAAATACTTTTTTCCCCCACTGTAACTAATTTACCGCATGGCGATGTCACCAGGCAGGCCAAAACTCCATCCCACCAAAACAGACTGACATTTCAGGTGGTCTTTTCAAACAGCTCTTACACTAAAAGGGCATTGTCATACTTTTCACAATTTCACAGTATTATTCCACCTCATAGTGTGGAAATATATAGCAAGCACAGGAAAATCATGTTTTTGATTGCACTGGGCCTTTAACCATTACAGGGATGAAGCTATATCTGACCCTCTATCGGTGGTTAGGGGAAACTTCTTCCCATACGGCTCTTCCCATAAGGCGTTTTCTAGACCCCTCCCTCCGCCAGGAGTGGTGTGTGCATGCATGCAATGGATGTGTGCGTGTCTTTGCATGCGTGACTCCACTCTACCTGTGTTTCAGGTGTGCGTGTGTGAGTGACTAGTGGTGCGGGGGCTGTGCTTTGGCGGAGTGGGTGGGGTTATATCCTTCCTGTTTGGCCCTGTCCGGGGGTTTCTTCGGATGGGGCCACAGTGTCTCCGGACCGCTCCTGTCTCAGCCTCCAGTATTTATGCTGCAGTAGTTTATGTGTCGGGGGGCTGGGGTTAGTTGGTTATACCTGGAGTACTTCTCCTGTCTTATCCAGTGTCCTGTGTGAATTTAAGTATGCTCTCTCTAATTCTCTCGTTCTCTCTTTCTCTCTGAGAACCTGAGCCCTAGGACCATACGTCAGGACTACCGGGCATGATGACACCTTGCTGTCCCCAGTCCGCCTGGCCTTGCTGCTATTCCAGTTTCAACTGTTCTGCCTGCGGCTACGAAACCCCTACCTGTCCCAGACCTGCTGTTTTCAACTCTTAATGATCGGCTATGAAAAGCCAACTGAGAGACCTGAGCCCTAGGACCATACGTCGGGACTACCGGCCGTGGTGACTCCTTGCTGTCCCCAGTCCGCCTGGCCTTGCTGCTATTCCAGTTTCAACTGTTCTGCCTGCGGTTATGGAACCCCTACCTGTCCCAGACCTGCTGTTTTCAACTCTTAATGATCGGCTATGAAAAGCCAACTGAGATTTATTCCTGATTATTATTTGACCATGCTTGTCACTTATGAACATTTTTGAACATCTTGGCATGGTTCTGTTATAATCTCCACCCGGCACAGCCAGAAGAGGACTGGCCACCCCTCATAGCCTGGTTCCTCTCTAGGTTTCTTCCTAGGTTTTCGCCTTTCTAGGGAGTTTTTCCTAGCCACCGTGCTTCTACACCTGCATTACTAGCTGTTTGGGGTTTTAGGCTGGGTTTCTGTACAGCACTTCGAGATATTAGCTGATGTAAGAAGGGCTATATAAAATAAAATTGATTGATTGAGTGACTCCACTCTACCTGTGTTTCAGGTGTGTGTGTGTGAGTGACTCCACTATACCTGTGTTTGAGGTGTGCCTCCAGGTCACAGCGGGGCATGCTGAGGCTGCAGGCCGGGGCCAGGGGACAGGACACAGACAGCTTGTCAAGCAGCTTGTGCACCAGGATGCTGCTCCGCCTACACACCTGCATATGCAGCTGTGTCCGGTCCAGCGGGCAGAAGTCCCGCTCCTGGAGGAAGCTGTGGAGGCAGCGGGCACAGAAGGTGTGTCCGCAGGGTGTGTCCAGGGGCTGGACCAAGGGCTGCAGGCAGATGTGGCACACCAGGTCATCGTCCACCTCCAGGCGGTAGTTATAAAGGTGGTTCTCCCAAGCCCGGTGGATCTGACCACACTCTGGACACAAGGCGTCCAGCACGGGCTCCACCGGTACCGCCGGACCCACCTGGATGGATGGGGGAAAGGAGGTGTTGGATGAACATGGAAGTTGAATAGAACAGCTTGATTTAATGAATCCCAGAGAAGGTAATTAATAGGTTGTTATGATGCAATTACCATGTAATGTGTTTGAAATACAAGGTAGATAGTGGATTGGAGACAATACACACACACACACACAGATATGAAGAAATAAACAGCAAAACAAAACATCTGTTATGTGCTGGCCTTTTAATGCTAGGTTCACTTCACCCACCTCCCAGCCGGGGCTGCCCATGTCAGGACCAGGGCTCCAATCGCCAGGCAAGGATTTGGCACAGTCGTAACTGGGGTTACAGGTTGGGAGGTTACGGGCGGGTGTGGAGGGGGGCGTCCTATCCCATAAGCCTCAGAGGGTGAGCTGGTGACAGAGAGCACAGCCACCCCCCAGTGGCCAATCAGACATCACCCTGTAGGTCAGAGGTCAAAGAGCAGGGGTTAAACAGATGGGGGAAAAAACTAAGTGTTTGTGTGTGTGTCTCTGAGTGTGTGTGCATGTGAGTGTGTACTCATGTACTGTATCACATGGTGAATATTTGCTTCGTATGAGTGTATGTGTGACAATGTGTGTGTGCGTGTTTATATGAATGTGTGTGTGTGTGTGTGTGTGTGTGTGTGTGTGTGTAGTGTGTGTTGAGATGATGTAGTGCTGCTCCTGCTCACTAATCTGTCAGTGTAATCTCTCTTTCGCTTTCGCCTGCTGCAATCGTCCAATCCCACAGAGAGGGCATTATCTGGGATTGAGTCAGAGAGGGCATTATCTGGGATTGAGTCAGAGAGGGCATTCTCTGGGATTGAGTCGGAGAGGACATGGGTATGGCTGAGAGGAAGGAGAGAGAGAGATAAAGAGAGAGAGGGATAGAGGGAGAGCGATTGAGAGGGAGGGAGAGAGAGAGAGATAACAAGAGAGCGAGAATGAAAGAGTGAGAGGGGAGAAAGAAAATAGGAGAGAGAGGAGATAGATGTAGAAAGAGAAGGGAAAAAATGACAGAGAGAATGGGAAAACAAAGGAGTAGAGAGATACAATGAAAAAATAGAGACAACGACAAAGAGAGAGAAGGGTGATATAGGGACAAGAAAAAAAGAGTGGAAGACTGCCAAGTGATCACTGAGAGTGACACTTGGGGATTGAACTTTGCCTTGTTCCTGCAGGCATATGTGTGTGTGTGTGTGTGTGTGTGTGTGTGTGTGTGTGTGTGTGTGTGTGTGTGTGTGTGTGCGCGCGTGTGCGTGTGTGTGTGTGCATGCTCGTGCTCCAGGTTCTGCAGCATGAGAGACCAGAGCTAATGGAAAACTCCATGCAGCTCTGAAACACAGCCGTCCACTCGTACAACTCCCCAAGGCTGAGCCGACCTCAGAACTAATGCATTGTGTACTAGTCATTTCCACTGTGTCTCACGTCCAAAACCATTTAGACTCACTTCCCATACTACAGTCCTCTAGCCCTGTCCCTGAGGAGCTCATAAACACACATGGACACAAGGGGGCGTATTTTAGTATGAAGCAGAGCCAAGCTAATAGCACCTGACTACCAGTGTCTACTCTCATCTCCTTTCCTATCTGCATGGATCTGAAAGAACTGGAGAGATCATAGCAAATGCTCAATAGGCATCCACCATAATGTTTTCACCCTTTCCTGTGATTTCAGATCAATGCCGATGACGCGGCGAGGAAGCCACTTTAGACTATTGAGATGCAGCCTCTGTCTGTCTGTGTGAGGGTCTGCCCCTGTCTCCATGGCTACAGAGCATGTTTAGTAGAGCTTGACATTCAGAGCTGTGTAGATAGAGATGGAGTGTACACAGCGTCCTTTCTATCTGCTGCTGGCTATATTCTCAATGTTCTGAATGGTTCTGGCCCTTTTGACTATGCCACTGCTGTTTCTGCCTGTCTTCATGGCTGTTGTTTCCATGACTACGTGCCTCGGTGTAACTTGTATCCATGACAACCTGCTTTTAATCTCTGTGACAACCTGCTTCTGTCTCCTTGACTGCTGGTACCCTTTTCCGTCTTTAAAGTAGCACTACATGCTCCTGTGTGTGTGTGTGTGTGTGTGTGTGTGTGTGTGTGTGTGTGTGTGTGCGTGCGTGAGTGCGCGTGCGTGCGTGCGTGCGTGTGTGTGTGACTGCCTCTGTGTCTATCCTGCAGCTGGAGATGCATTATTCATGTGGACACAAGGCTCCTCTGTTCCCATAACAAAGCTCTGACATCATTTTATCACGCACACACACATGCGCGCACACACACGTACACACACAGTGGATGCTCTTGGGGTATGATTTTGTGGGTAAGTGCAGTGTCTTTCAACCGCTGCTGTGAATGAGTTTGAAATGCAAGACTAATGCAGTCTATAAGTTAGATCTCTCTTGTTGTCCCCCCCCCCCCCCTCGCTCTCACGCTCTCTCTCTCTGCCTGTCTCTATCTCTGTCTCTCTTTCCCTCTCTCTCTCTCTGTCTCTCTCTTTATCTCTCTCTGCCTGTCTCTCTCTGTCTCTCTTTCCCTCTCTCTCGGTCTCTCTCTCTCTCTCTTTCTTTCTCTCTCTCTCTGCCTCTCTCTGCCTGTCTCTCTCTCTCTCTCTGCAAGTCTCTCTCTCTCTGCCTGTCTCTCTCTCTCTGCCTGTCGCTTTCTCTCTCTGCATGTCTCTCTCTCTCTCTCTGTCTCTCTTTCCCTCTCTCTTGCTCTCTCTTTCCCCCTCTCTCTTGCTCTCTCTTCCCCCCCCCTCTCTCTCTCTCTCTGCCTGTCTCTCTCTCTGCCTGTCTCTCTCTCTCTCTCTGCAAGTCTCTCTCTCTCTGCCTGTCTCTCTCTCTCTGCCTGTCGCTTTCTCTCTCTGCATGTCTCTCTCTCTCTCTGCATGTCTCTCTTTCCCTCTCTCTTGCTCTCTCTTTCCCCCTCTCTCTTGCTCTCTCTTCCCCCCCCTCTCTCTCTCTCTCTGCCTGTCTCTCTCTCTGCCTGTCTCTCTCTCTCTCTCTGCAAGTCTCTCTCTCTGCCTGTCTCTCTCTGCCTGTCTCTCTCTCTCTGCCTGTCTCTCTCTCTGCCTGTCTCTCTCTGCCTGTCTCTCTCTCTGCCTGTCTCTCTCTCTGCCTGTCTCTCTCTCTCTCTGCCTGTCTCTCTCTCTGCCTGTCTCTCTCTCTGCCTGTCTCTCTCTCTGCCTGTCTCTCTCTCTGCCTGTCTCTCTCGCTGTGTTCATCCTTCTGCCAGCACTTTACAGCAGTTACAAGAGCACTTAAATCTCATCTTACTTTCAACATCACTGGATTGCAGCAGCAAATGTCATTAAATACTGTGCGGCATTACATAAGACTGAGAAATATTTAATAGCTTCTAAGCAGCACAGGATCTTCTATTATTTTCCCAGAACAGCACTTATCTCTCTCAAGTTGTGTGCATGTGTGTGTGTGTGTGTGTGTGTGTGTGTGTGTGTGTGTCATTGTCTTTGCTGTGTTACCCGGCACCTTAAGTCCACCATGTAATTGTTTTGTTATTCCATAGGCTTGCTTTCCCCTGCTCTCTCTATTGATACCAGTAGTAGACAAGGCGTTGCAGCTGTCACTGCCTACAGCGACTCAGCGACTAATGCACTAATGAAATGCACCGGATAATGCACAAAGAAGATGACGTCTGTCCTATTGCCTACCCAAATAAATGGATAGGCCTAGGCTATAACATATAGGCTACAACATTATTGCATGTCAGACAAGGGGGGAAACGCGATATATTCTTGCCCTCTGGTACAGTTGATCACGTTAATAAGGTTGTAGGCTAATAAAACCGCAATCCCTGGGCAAAATACCATTACCATGAATTTCAAGAGCCTAATCCTCTTGTAATTCTTTGCAAAAAACAATAAACTTCAATATGCAATTTTCCACTCCATGATTCGTTTCAATGTATAGAATAACAATTGTAAAAAGTGGACTAAAATACCAATTTCATGCACTGCCCTATCTCAAAGGCATCATATAATGGTTTAAATTACAGCAACACCCTTCTTATCATTTGGGCTGGTGAGCGAACCAGCCGGATTGTCTGTCTGATTGTCAGATTCCTCCCTCCCTTCCTTCTCGATCTGTGGAATAGCGCGGAGACGTATGGATCATGGACAGACAATAGCGACTTCAATAAAGCTATATAGACATCTTGACAGTGAAGATGTGCGAGCAGAACACATGCATTATATTACCTATTCCGGCTTCTCCTTGGTGAAGAGAACTCTGGCCCCGAGAGGGGACAATTGCCGGACCTCGATCACACATTCACCACAACAAGACGAACCGCAGCAGCCGCACATAAAAAGCCCCGGTGCTGCTTGCGGTGAAGTACCCGCCCACTGCTCTGTTCCAGCAGTCAGTCAAAGAGATGGGGGCGGAGTTTCGTGCTGTCAATCTAAAAATGAAATTAGAGGCTTCATTTTATGCCTGATCGAAACCAACTACTGAAAATATATTTAGCCATTTATTTTTTATATTGGACTACATCTTTACTGTTCTAATATATTTCAACATAATATGTGTGTTGTTATGCAATTATATCTGTTTCTTTACGTAATGAAATCTGATTTTACGTAAGGCACTGCTACGGACCTCAGGTGTGTGGGGTCCTCGGTCGAAGGCCCCCGTGGAGGAGAAGTAAACAGAAATGTTCATAAATAATCATTAGCTAGCATTGGCAGTATTGATTTGGGTAATTAAAAAAAAATATATATATATATATATTAAAGTGGTCATTACACCATGGCAGATGATAGCGAATTGGAGAACTATATTATAATCTATCCTGCGGCCATTATGATTATTTCTTGCTTGATGTGAATTTCATGGGTGTTTTAAAGGGCAATCTAGCTAGCTAGCTAGCTATGTCAAGGGGATTTATGATGCTATTTAAATTGTAGTTAATTGTTTTCCAGCAGCTAGGTTGCTTGCTATTCATGTTTGTAAATGATTAGCTAGTTCTGTTATTAAATAAATTGTAGCATGACTACCTAGCTATCTCACATAGCGACTGAATTGTTGTCGAGAGATTCAGCAAGGTAACATAACACCAAACAAGTTGGAGTTATTTTTGGGTCGCAGCTGCTGGAAATGGAATGTTTGGGGGAGGATAGGGTGTGGGTGGGTGAGTATGAGTGTGAGAGATACAGAGAGAATAGAGATTGATGTGTGTGTGCACCATTGATAGTAAAATAATGTGAGTGTATGAGAGATCCTGTGCACACTTGTATGTGGTCAAAGGGCAGCTATAACAGTTAATCTGTGGTCAAAGGGCAGGTATAACAGTTTCTCCCACTGAGATGGGATACTACTGACTCAGCAGGTCAACCCAGGACACATGACATACCTCTAAGTTACTGTTGCTTGCCCTCTTAGACTGGCATAGTAATGCCTCTCTCTTCTCTGCTTTGCTTTCCATCCTGCTGTGTTCCCTCTTTTATTCTCCTCTCTTTCTCTCCTCCTTTTATTCTCCTCTCTTTCATTCTCCTCTCTTTCTCTCCTCTCCCTTTTTAGCCCCATTTTTTTTTTTTGTCATTTAGCAGACGCTCTTATCCAGAGCAACTTACATGAGCAATTAGGGTTAAGTGCCTTGCTCAAGGGCACATTGACATATTTTTCACCTAGTCGGCTCGGGGATTAGAACTCTCTCTCTCTCTCTCTCTCTCTCCTCCCCCAACTCCCCCGTGTAGACGTGCATTGGAGGAGCTGCTGAAGGAGACCAATAGGGCTGGGTGCGAACAGAAACCATGGGTCCAGCAGGCTGGTGAGTGGGATGTGTTAGTAAAGGATCTGGTAAAGGATCTGTTATGGGTGTTTGGCTTTCAATGCAGAATGTACTTAACTCTTGGCAAGGTGTGACTGACCTGGACAGACAGATGTCAAAGTTCCTGGCACATATCGAAGGCCTTGCTGGCTTTGCCATGTTCATTTTGGTTCAACTATCTTTCAGGATGAAGTGTACGCTGCGCAGCACTAACAACCATTTCCTGCTCAACACTCAGCGCACCACCATCCCACAGCGCCGCCCTGCTGGCCACTCAGGAGAACAGACATCAAAGAGTAGGGGGCAGGACACCACCCAGAGACAATGGAGGATACAGGGACCACAGACTGTCATAGAGACAGCTGAGAACCTAGTCTCAAAGATGAACACAGACTGTCATAGAGACAGCTGAGAACTTAGTCTCAATGATGGACACAGACTGTCATAGAGACAGCTGAGAACCTAGTCTCAAAGATGGACACAGACTGTCATAGAGACAGCTGAGAACCTAGTCTCAAAGATGGACAAAGACTGGCATAGAGACAGCTGAGAACTTAGTCTCAAAGATGGACACAAAGGAGACAGACTGTCATAGAGACAGCTGAGAACCTAGTCTCAAAGATGGACAAAGATTGTCATAGAGACAGCTGAGAACCTAGTCTCAACGATGGACACAGACTGTCATAGAGACAGCTGAGAACCTAATCTCAATGATGGACACATAGACAAGGACTGTCATAGAGACAGCTGAGAACCTAGTCTCAACGTTGGACACAGACTGTCATAGAGACAGCTGAGAACCTAGTCTCAACGATGGACACAGAGACAAAGACTGTCATAGAGACAGCTGAAAACCTAGTCTCAACGATGGACAAAGACTGTCATAGAGACAGCTGAGAACCTAGTCTCAACGATAGACACAGACTGTCATAGAGACAGCTGAGAACCTAGTCTCAACGATGGACACAGAGACAAAGATTGTCATAGAGACAGCTGAGAACCTAGTCTCAAAGATGGACACAGACTGTCATAGAGACAGCTGAGAACCTAGTCTCAAAGATGGACACAGACTGTCATAGAGACAGCTGAGAACTTAGTCTCAATGATGGACACAGACTGTCATAGAGACAGCTGAGAACCTAGTCTCAAAGATGGACACAGACTGTCATAGAGACAGCTGAGAACCTAGTCTCAACGATGGACAAAGACTGTCATAGAGACAGCTGAGAACCTAGTCTCAAAGATGGACACAGACTGTCATAGAGACAGCTGAGAACCTAGTCTCAACGATGGACACAGACTGTCATAGAGACAGCTGAGAACCTAGTCTCAACGATAGACACAGACTGTCATAGAGACAGCTGAGAACCTAGTCTCAACGATGGACACAGAGACAAAGATTGTCATAGAGACAGCTGAGAACCTAGTCTCAAAGATGCACACAGACTGTCATAGAGACAGCTGAGAACCTAGTCTCAAAGATGGACACAGACTGTCATAGAGACAGCTGAGAACCTTGTCTCAAAGATGGACACAGACTGTCATAGAGACAGCTGAGAACCTAGTCTCAACGATGGACAAAGACTGTCATAGAGACAGCTGAGAACCTAGTCTCAAAGATGGACACAGACTGTCATAGAGACAGCTGAGAACCTAGTCTCAAAGATGGACACAGAGACAAAGACTGGCATAGAGACAGCTGAGAACCTAGTCTCAACGTTGGACACAGACTGTCGTAGAGACAGCTGAGAACCTAGTCTCAACGATGGACACAGAGACAAAGACTGTCATAGAGACAGCTGAAAACCTAGTCTCAACGATGGACAAAAACTGTCATAGAGACAGCTGAGAACCTAGTCTCAACGATAGACACAGGCTGTCATAGAGACAGCTGAGAACCTAGTCTCAAAGATGGACACAGACTGTCATAGAGACAGCTGAGAACTTAGTCTCAATGATGGACACAGACTGTCATAGAGACAGCTGAGAACCTAGTCTCAAAGATGGACACAGACTGTCATAGAGACAGCTGAGAACCTAGTCTCAACGATGGACAAAGACTGTCATAGAGACAGCTGAGAACCTAGTCTCAACGATAGACACAGACTGTCATAGAGACAGCTGAGAACCTAGTCTCAACGATGGACACATAGACAAGGACTGTCATAGAGACAGCTGAGAAACTAGTCTCAACGTTGGACACAGACTGTCATAGAGACAGCTGAGAACCTAGTCTCAACGATAGACACAGACTGTCATAGAGACAGCTGAGAACCTAGTCTCAACGATGGACACAGAGACAAAGACTGTCATAGAGACAGCTGAAAACCTAGTCTCAACGATGGACAAAGACTGTCATAGAGACAGCTGAGAACCTAGTCTCAACGATAGACATAGACTGTCATAGAGACAGCTGAGAACCTAGTCTCAATGATGGACACAGAGACAAAGACTGTCATAGAGACAGCTGAAAACCTAGTCTCAACGATGTACAAAGACTGTCATAGAGACAGCTGAGAACCTAGTCTAAACGATAGACACAGACTGTCATAGAGACAGCTGAGAACCTAGTCTCAACGATGGACACAGAGACAAAGATTGTCATAGAGACAGCTGAGAACCTAGTCTCAAAGATGGACACAGACTGTCATAGAGACAGCTGAGAACTTAGTCTCAATGATGGACACAGACTGTCATAGAGATAGCTGAGAACTTAGTCTCAATGATGGACACAGACTCTCATAGAGACAGCTGATAACCTAGTCTCAAAGATGGACACAGACTGTCATAGAAACAGCTGAGAACCTAGTCTCAAAGATGGACACAGAGACAAAGACTGTCATAGAGACAGCTGAGAACCTAGTCTCAAAGATGGACACAGTCTGTCATAGAGACAGCTGAGAACCTAGTCTCAAAGATGGACACAGACTGTCATAGAGACAGCTGAGAACCTAGTCTCAAAGATGGACACAGACTTTCATAGAGACAGCTGAGAACCTAGTCTCAAAGATGGACACAGACTGTCATAGAGACAGCTGAGAACTTAGTCTCAATGATGGACACAGACTGTCATAGAGACAGCTGAGAACCTAGTCTCAAAGATGGACACAGACTGTCATAGAGACAGCTGAGAACCTAGTCTCAACGATGGACAAAGACTGTCATAGAGACAGCTGAGAACCTAGTCTCAAAGATGGACACAGACTGTCATAGAGACAGCTGAGAACCTAGTATCAAAGATGGACACAGAGATAAAGACTGGCATAGAGACAGCTGAGAACCTAGTCTCAACGTTGGACACAGACTGTCATAGAGACAGCTGAGAACCTAGTCTCAACGATAGACACAGACTGTCATAGAGACAGCTGAGAACCTTGTCTCAACGATGGACACAGAGACAAAGACTGTCATAGAGACAGCTGAAAACCTAGTCTCAACGATGGACAAAAACTGTCATAGAGACAGCTGAGAACCTAGTCTCAACGATAGACACAGACTGTCATAGAGACAGCTGAGAACCTAGTCTCAAAGATGGACACAGACTGTCATAGAGACAGCTGAGAACC